AATTCTGTATGGTACAGTATTTGTGAAATTTTTTTGCACATGAAATTTAGCTGGTTTTACAGTATTAAACACTTTGATTGTCTTAAATATGATTTTATTAAGGATGTGTTGAGGACTATTAATAAGAGTATCATCCTATAATTCAATATATATTTATAGAAGCTAAACAGATTGGGTTTTACAAACAATAAAGTAACAATGTAGTGCTTAGATCCACACAGTAATCCTAAACATTGTTATGTTACATGGATATTATTTCATCAGTAGCTAAGGCAAGACTTCCTTTATACCTTGTTTCGCGTACTTATTCTTCTAAAGATCATCGGAGGAGGGCAGAATAAAAATAAAATTTAGTTTTTTTATTCAGCAAACAGTCTGCCTAAAACATCCAGACGGAGGAGAAAATAAATATACAATTTTATTGGTGAATGTAAAGTAGGATGGTTAAATATTTAAAATTTATATAAATACAGTATGTATATCTTATATCTTTGGAGATTTCAAGGCAGTGGAGGGCATAATTAAAACTAATTTTTTACTGCAATTTCCTTCTTTTTTTTTTTTTTTGTGGTGGTGGGTGCGCTAATTGCTCAATAATAAAATTTTATTTTTATTTTATAAATACCAATATTTGCAGTAGGCGGGTTCGATAAACAAGGTATAAAAAAGTCTCGCCCGAACATTTGATTTTTAGAATCTATTAACTTACCGATTTTGACAATCTTGAGCTTTTGAAACTTCTTAGTACTTTTTGATCCAGTTCAGATGAAGTCAGGAAACAAAGTTGTTCAGGATAGATTTCAAGGTTGTTAAACAAGTTTCAAGGCTTGAAAATACTGTAAAATATAATATAAATATGTTAAGTGAATTATCATATAAATAATAAAACAAACGATTATAATAGCACCAAATTCCATCACATGAAGAAGTTGATGTATTTTGAAATTTTTGTTCTGTGATAAGTTTAAATGAGGTGTTTTGTGCAAGTTTAAATAATGTAGTCTGTTAAGGTGACTCTCAGGCTGCACATCACAAATTCAGCACACTACTATACAGGTACACATAGTTATTCAAGCTGTGTTAATTACTTAGTTAAATATATTAATGAAAGTAGGTTTATCCAATCCGATTAAAATTAAAAAAAATAAAGTAAAAACAAAAAAATAACAAACATTATGCTTTAACTAAAAAAGTCATTAGCATAAGACAACAATGTAGTATTTTTTTTACTATTATATCACTGAATTATGAAATCTAATTTTACGCGTACATCATCTAATCCTTTAATACCATTGACCAACTTGTGACAAGTGATGAAATGGAATCCCAATCACATTATATGTCTGTATATTACTATTCGCTTTAATAAAGTATTCACTTATTATTATTGTTTTCACAACAAAACTCACCAATTGTTTGCACAAGACCATCTTCATCGGCCACAAAAAGTTCGGCTACAGCCAACTCGGCCACAAGTCAACTCGGCCACAAGTCAACTCGGCCACAAATCAACTCGGCCACAAGTCAACTCGGCCACAAGTTATTTAATGTAAATAAGTTTTTGCATCCTTTTTCTTCAATATATGATTGAAATAAAGTACACAGTATGTTTTAGTAAAACAGGACCACCACACTACCAAAAGAGATTTGAATGCTATTGTCTATGAATTAAAAAGAGTTTATTTATTAATGTGTTCGTCTTCTGTTTACTCACAACATTCTACTTCAACAATAATATTAAACAACAATAAATTAGTGATATTTATATTAATAATACTAATTAGTAATTATGACGATAATAAAGGTGATAATAACAACAACATTAATAGTAATATTTATTTTAACAAATAGTAATAACACTAGTATGGTAATAATAACGATATTTAAATATCAATTACTAATTAGTGATAATAACGATATTGAAGGTGATAATAGCAATAATACAACAATAATAAATTAAAGATAATGTTTATTTTTATAATAATACAATAATACAACAATAATAAATTATAATACTAGGCCTACTTAGTAATAATAGGGTAATAATATCGATAATAAAGGTGA